CATATGCTAGATGTTCGTAAGAATTTAGTGTTTGGATCTCTCCTTAGCAAGAATGGCTTCAAGTTGGTTTTTATACCTGATAAGTTTGTACTCTCCAAAAATGAGATGTATGTAGGAAAGGGTTATCTGAGTGATAGTTTATTCAAGCTGAATGTAATGACTGTTGTAACCAAGGATGATTTGAATAAAGTTGCTTCTTCTTATGTGCTTAAGTCTTCTAATATTTGGCATGCTAGACTAGGACATGTTAACTATAAGTCGATAAAGAAATTAATGAATATGGGACTGTTGCCGAAATTTGACTGTCCAAGTGAGAAATGCTAAGTGTGTGTTGAATCTAAATTTTCTAAGCCTCCTTTCCATTCTATAGATAATAGAGTCTCAGAACCTTTAGATTTAATACACACAGATATATGCGATATGAAATCAATACCGTCAAGAGGTGGTAATAAGTATTTTATCACATTTATAGATGACTGCTCGAGGTATTGTTATGTTTATTTGCTTAGTAGCAAAGATGAGGCTATGAATGCTTTTAGAACTTATAAGTCCGAAGTTGAAACTCAGTTGAATAAGGAAATTAAAATAATAAGGAGTGACAGAGGAGGTGAATATGAATTTCCTTTTAAGGAAATTTGTACCGAGTTTGATATCGTTCACCAAATGACTGCTCCTTATACACCACAATCAAATGGTGTGGCGGAAAGAAAAAATCGATCCCTAAAGGAAACAATGAATGCATTGTTGAACAGTTCTGGTTTACCGCAGAATTTGTGGGGGGAAGCTGTCTTAACAGCAAATTTTATTTTAAATAGAGTACCCCACAAAAAGACACAACAAACTCTCTATGAGAAATGGAAAAGTAGAATGCCTAACTTGAATTATCTCAAAGTGTGGGGGTGTTTGGCTAAGGTTGCGGTTCCTAAGCCGAAAAAGGTTAAAATAGGACCAAAGACTGTTGACTGTGTTTTTATCGGATATGCTCAAAATAGCAATGCATATCGTTTTCTTGTTCATAAGTCAGAGATCCCAAATATATATGTTTATATGATCATTGAATCAAGGGATGCTTCGTTCTTTGAAAATATATTTACGTATAACATAGTATATGAGCCAATTGATAATAATAAGAGGTCTCGAGATACTATATCTAGAAGTGATCCAATGGAGGATGAACCTAGACGTAGTAAAAGACAAAGGACTTCCACATCTTTTGGACCTGATTTCTTAACGTACATGTTAGAGAATGAGCCTCGGACATTCAAAGAAGCTGTGACATCGCCAGAAGCCCCGTTCTGGAAAGAAGCTATCAATAGTGAAGTTGAATCCATCTTGTCAAACCATACATGGAAATTGGTTGACCTTCCTCTTGGTAATAAACCACTACAATGTAAGTGGATTTTCAAGAGAAAAATGAAAGCGGATGGTACTATTGATAAATATAAGGCTAGACTTGTGGTAAAAGGATACAAGCAACGAGAAGGCCTGGATTATTTTGATACCTACTCACCTGTTACTAGAATTACATCTATAAGGATGCTAATTGCCATAGCAGCGGTGTATAGGCTTGAAATCCATCAAATGGATGTTAAAACGGCTTTCTTAAACAAGGATTTGGAAGAAGAAATATATTTGGAACAACCCGAAGGGTTCATTATTCCAGAACAAGAGAAGAAAATATGTCGGCTTATCAAGTCACTCTATGGATTAAAACAAGCACCAAAACAATGGCATGCTAAATTTGACCAAGTCATGTTGTCGAATGGTTTTAAGATTAATGAGTGTGATAAATGTGTATATGTTAAGAACACTCATAATGGTTTTGCTATTTTGTGCTTGTATGTAGATGACATGCTTATAATGGGTAGCGATAGTGAGGTTGTCAATACGACCAAACGCATGCTCACAAGTAAATTTGATATGAAAGATATGGGGTTGCAGATGTTATTTTAAGAGTTAAAATCCATAAGACATCTAGAGGATTATCTCTATCACAGTTCCATTATATTGAGACGATTCTTGGAAAGTGCAAGAATCTAGATATTGTACCAGTAAAGACTCCGATAGATGTTAATTTACATCTTTCAAAGAATACTGGTGAAAGCAAAGCTCAAAATGAGTATGCTAGAATACTAGGCAGTCTAATGTATGTTGTGAATCAGTACTAGGCCGGACATAGCTTGTCTTGTGAGCAAGCTAAGTCGATTCTGATTAGTCCAAATGAAAATCATTGGAAAGCTATGAAACGTTTATTGGGCTACTTAAAGCATACTCAAGATTATGCTTTGCATTACACAGAATATCCAGCGGTACTTGAAGGATACTGTGATGCAAATTGGATAACCGGCACTAAAGATACAAAATCGACAAGTGGATATATTCACACTTGGTGGGGCGGCAATGTCTTGGAAATCATCCAAACAAACTTGTATTGCTAGATCCACTATCGAATCAGAATTTATTGCTTTGGATAAAGTCGGTGAAGAAGCAGAGTGGCTTCGAAATTTCTTGGAAGATATTCCTAATTGGCCTAAACCAGTGCCCGCTGTATGTATACATTGTGACAGTCAAGCGACAATAGGAAGGGCAAGGAATGTCATGTATAAAGGTAAGTCTCGACACATACGTCGAAGACATGACACAGTAAGACAACTTCTTTCTGGAATTATCACCATTGACTATGTGAAGTCAAAAGATAATGTTGTGGATCCATTAACAAAAGGCCTAACTAGAGAGATGGTTGCGAAAACATCAAGGGGAATGGGTTTAAGGCCTATAAACAAGTCATCATAGCGGAAACCCTACCTAGTTGACTGGAGATCCCAAGATCTAGGTTCAAATGGACAACTAAGTTATGAAGACAGTGTAGAGTACTGTCAAATTTTTTACTTATTTCCGGATGAAGACAGTACTAATATGTGAAGGTTAAGTAAAAGCTTTTAATGATTCTGAATTGAGTATGTGATATACTATATGTTCAGAAATCACCTATGTGAGTGTGAAGTGAGGGCCGCTTCTGTGAGAATTGAAAAAGGCCGAATTCTCTAAAATACTCATGAGACCAGGCGGTGTTCATGGCCAAAACAAACACAACAGTGAGAACCAATTTTGTTCGAGAAACAGTTATGTGATTCCTATTGTCTAGGCATATACCAAAGGTCGACAGTTCAAAGACATCAAGTTTACTGATTGACCGAGTAAGTCCGATAGGTTTCACTAAGGAAAGTTCAAAGTCTCAAACTACTTATCCTGATGCAACGTTTTCTCATGGAATAATCGCACATTGCATCTCATGCATACACGAAAAGTCATGATATCAGAACTTCTCATTCATGTGGGGGATTGTTGGGATTTTCGCATCCAAATCCCATAGAATTGAATGAAAAGTGTGTGGATGAAAGTGTCCCACATAGGATAGAAGAGGTGATGGGAGATGGTTTATTTTGAGAAGCCTCTCAAATGGGTTTGGGCTCCAAGGGGTACCCCACTTTTGTGCAAGGGAGAGAACCTACGCCAAGCTAGGTCGGTCTACCCCCCGCGCGCGCCGCCGCCGCCGCCGTCCGTCCGGCTGGCTCGGCTCAGTTCCGGGTCCATTCTCTATCGATTTTTTATTTTTTCCGAACAGACACGTTTGTTAGAAATTAATTATTTTTTTTTGGACAAACAAACATGTCTGTTCGTGAGGTTCGGTTTGCCCGAACGAAAACCGCTTCGGTTCGAGTGAGCTTTCGCGACTGTTCATGAACCGAACCGGTTCAAGTGAACATTCGCTACTGTTCACTAAAAAGCGAGTCTTCATTACTCGCAACTCTTCATTTTCGCCATTTTAATATGACCGAACAGTTTAGTTCGAAAAGGTGACATTTTTTCGTGGCATTTTATATTCCCACGAGACATTTTCTTTCCCGACGCACTCAAGACATATTCACTTCATTATTGTCATTTTGTGCGATTGTCTATGCAAAATTGCGTTCGAAGGAGTTCTCTGAATACGTACCACTTCAGAGGAACGAGATCCGTTCTATCCTGGGAGACGATTGTCCAATATCCTCGGGTACTGATTGAGAGGCCAAATTCGTCTTAAGGACACGACGTTACTTCATTGGGCTCGGATCAACATTCTGTTTATTTATTTGTACTGCTTTTAGGTTAGTTTTCTTGACGTTTGATTTCAATTTCTGGTTTACGAACTTAGCCGACTACAGTAATTTCCTGCCAAAATAAGCTAGAAGGACTACATTGGCAAATCGTCAAAATTTTTAAAACTAATTGACCAAATTCAAAAGTTTTGGACTGAATTGGTCGCTATTCAATAGTTTAGGATCTTGTCCTTCTTTTGGACAAGTATTCCTGTTGCCAATCTTTTTAGCTACATATTTCAACCCTCTTCTTAAAATATCTTACAAAAAAATATCTATATATTTTTATTATAGCTTGAACGAATCTAGAATTCTTGGAGAAGATAAGTACTACATCTTTTTCTTCAACATATATGACTTGTATCTAAGCAAGATAGAGATGACTTGCGCATGCATAGTAAATTGGCACTAAATCAGCATTAAATTGTGCATGCATAGTAAATTGGCACTAAATTGACACAGAAAAAAGGTATGTGACCAAATTGGCACCAACGCAATAGGTTTAGGACTTTTCTGATACTTTTCCAATGCATAATAAATGAAAATGAAAATGGGTTTTCCTTCTTCCTAGAGTGTTCGATCAAATATAAACCAAAAAACAAGAAAGCAAAACTGTCCATCCTCCCAAAAACCATGCTTTGCATGTTTAACTAGAACCGACAAAACTTACGCATTATAGAGTGTCCCCTAACTTTCTTTGCCCTTGTCCTCTACGCATAAAATTACACTGAATAAATTTGAAAGTGCAGGGATTGAAGGTAAAACAAATTATGATAGGAAAAAAAATTGATATATATATATAGACAACTCTTGACGTCTGAATGATTAGAAAATATGAATGAACAACACGCAAAAGTCCTATAATAGCAATTGCTCCAAACAACTTCATATATAGTTGTAATAACACACATACAACTGTTGGACTTACTCTATTTCAAGAGGTGGAGATTATATTGAAGACACAGAATTTATGCATCACTACGTCAGAATATGACTCCAGTATGAGCCCGTGATTCACTCTTATTTGGGGTGTCTGGCTTTTATCTAATGGACATCTGGATTATTTTATTAATATCGATTATGCATATAATACATCTACACCACCATGACTTTGCACTTGTATCTATGCAAGATAGAGATGACTTGGCAAGCGCAGCTCCGCTTGAGCTACTAGTGGTTCGGCGAGGAACAGGTCATTTCTTGACTCGGCAAGGTTGATGCTCGACAAATTGGACGGTTTACTCCAACTGAACCCTTGGATTAACCTAGCGAGGAGCATCACGGTCATTGTTGTCCCGAGCGTGGCGGCAATGCACCCGCGTCGGCCAGTACTAAAAGAAATGAACCGCAGTTCAGGTTCTGTGAGCACGACCTCTACTTGGTCACTCATAGTGTGTCGGTCTGGCTTGAACTTAAGGGGTTCGTCCCAAATCTCGGGGTTTCTTCCGAGGCCGACCCGGCTCAAAAGGACATGGCTACCCTTGGGGATGTGATAGCCGGCCACCACGGTGTCCGACAAGGCTACATGTGGAACGTTGAAGGGCGCGATCGGGTGGAGCCTAAAAGCTTCCCGAGCACATGCTTTAATGTAGTTGAGCTGGGGGATGTCGGATTCTTGGACTAACCTCTCCTTACCCACAACTCTATCTATTTCTTCTGTGGCTTTGTGAAGGAGCTCTGGCTGATTTATCATCTCCGCCATTGCCCATTCGACAGCGTTTGATGGATTGTCCACCGCAGCAAGAATAATCTCCTGCATGTCGTGCATCTTTATGTTAAAATTTAAACTATTTAGACCAATACACCGCAAATGAAAGGGCAAATATACTAGAATTATCAATACACTACTCATTCCAAAAATGTTACTATATGTTCTTACAATTTCCAATAGCTACCGAAGCAATCAAGTTTATAAAGTAATCCTGCTTCGTGTCGATGGCATATAAATATGAAGACATCAATTCGGATGGACAAGATTTTAAAGTTCATATTCGATCGAACACTCTAGGAAGGACATAATTTTACCGTGGTTATGGCTTGAATTTCTTGTGGCATCAGCAATGGCATCCCTTTCGAGTCTTTAAGCATTATTAGAACATCCAATAAGTCTTGAGGCTCTTTTTCATTACTCTCTGAACTCAAATTGTCCCTCCATCGTTTGATCCTCTCGCTTATTATGGGTTCATGTAACCTCCTAAGAGTCCTCGCACTATCTTTTACTTCCTTCTCATGCCCATCAAGGTCAAGCCCCACCAAGAATGGAAAGTAATCAGAAACACAAAATGCATAGAGATAGAGCAGTGCATTGAATATTGCATCCACGTGTTGTTCTTCATCAATGGTTGGTCCTCCATCTTGCCTTCCCTTGGCAAAGTATCTCTTGTTGAACATCAACCTCCTTATCACATTCCCACAATAGTGCCTCGTAGTGGTTCTCAAGTTCACTTGATGACCTGAGGTTTTGCATAGGTTAAAGACATACCTCACTAGGTTATCGGCTTCCGCTGCTCTCTTGTCGTGAAGCCACTTGTGCCGTGCTGGGCACACTACCTCCGATACCAAGACCCGTCTCATCTTCTTCCATTGCTCCCCGTAGGGCGAGAGGACTGCCGTCAAGTAGACGCTGCTTAATGTGCTGGATGCCATCGAAACCGGCCTTGAGGCGAACGACGAGTCCAGTTTCCTGAGGAATTCTTGGGCGATCCTTGGACTGGTGACTGGAATGATGTGCGTGCTCCCTAGACGGATGCATGCTATCTCGGTGTCCATCTCCTTCATCAGGCGATGGATCCACCGGAACGCAGGCTTGTTGCGAAGCATGCCCAGGGCACAACCGACCACCGGCCATGGGGCAGGGCCCGGAGGGAGTGGGAATGGATTATGTTTGTTTCTGATGGTTTTGTAACGAAACTGTTGTTTCACAATATTAGATAAAGCGATGAGTGCCAAGAGAAGTAGGGCATAAATGGTGGCTGGGGTGGCGGAGCTCATTGTGGTTGCGGCAGTCGGAGGGTTTGTCGATGGCAATTTCTCTATGTATGTTTGCCTGTGGAGGTTTTCGACCACTAGGGTTTTGCTGTGAAGAAGAAAAAGGGAGAGTTTGCATGGTGAGGTGAACATGCACGTAGGACGCCTTTAAATAGAAGCGGAGGCCAACCATCGACCACTAGGGTTTTGCTGTGAAGAAGAAAAAGGGAGAGTTTGCATGGTGAGGTGAACATGCACGTAGGACGCCTTTAAATAGAAGCGGAGGCCAACTATCGACCCCTAGGGTTTTGCTGTGAAGAAGAAAAAGAGAGAGTTTGCATGGTGAGGCGAACATGCACGTAGGACGCCTTTAAATAGAAGCGGAGGCCAACTACTATTTCCGACAAGTGTTCGCATTCATTCTAATTACGATGAATTTCCTTGTGTGTTTTGAGATAAACGTGCGTGGTGCTTCCTTGCCTGTTTGAACACCCGTGTCCTAACCATGGGGATTGCCCTAGTGATCACCCTTCTTACTTGAAAAGGGCGAGGTGGAGAGTTCGATTCCGTACCTTTTCGGGGTGTTAGGGGTGGGAACGCGTAATTTCAAGTGTGGGTTTCGATTCCCACGCTCTACAAGAGGCAAGACAAAAGTCTGAAAGTGAGACAAGAGGTAGAGTAAGAGTAGGATTGATAAAAAAAAAAAAACATCTGTGTCCCACAGGTGAAGATAAATATAGTTCCAAACATGAATTTTTCGGTTACGAGACGTGCTTATGGATTTTTCTCTTCAATTTGTCTACCCTTTAATGATCGGCATTTTGTCTACTAAGGATCAGCAACCAATTAGAGCGTCAGATTAGGTCACAGTCCACACCACCTAGAAAAGCTAAACTTTGTCAAAACGCCTTTATATTCTGCGAAAATTCCCACATACTAACCAAAATCCCAACCTAAGATGTAAATAGACATGGTTACAAACATGGAATTTGTTGGTTACAAGACGTTTGCTTATAACATTTACACCTTAAATTTGTCTACCCTTGAATGATCGCATTTTGTCTACCCTTAAAGGATTAACAACCAAATAGAGCGTACAGAATAAACACCACCGCAAAAAATTCTTAAATTTTCCAACATGCCCTTACATTCTATGAAGATTCACACATATGCCAAGCAAAATCCAACCCAAGATGAAGATAAATATGGCTACAAACATAAAATTTGTTGGTAACAAGATTTGTGCTCATAAATTTAGAGCTTAAGTCTGTCTACCCTTAAATGATCGCACTTTGTCTATCCTTACATGATTAGCAACCAAATAGAGTGGATTAAACACTGCCCTCAAAAGCTTGACTTTTCCAAACTGTCCTGACATTCTGTAATTTCACAATATACCAACCAAAAATGGTCCAATTGTCTGGTTTCCTTGAGAAAACTGTGAATCCCATTTGGTAGGTCCCATCAAGTGGGGAACTCTTTAGATTTAAAAACCAATAAATCAAATTTAAAATAGAAAATAGAAAAAAAAAACTTATTAAAAACATCATCAATATAGAATATCTTTACATTCAATATAAAAACAATGGTTAAACATATTTATTATAAGGCAAAATAATTGTAAGAGATATATTAATAACATCTCTACTGTAAAACATTTTTCACACTTGTCGTTAAAGAAGATTTTCAACATATAACAAAATGGATATAATTGTCTAAATTAAAACTCGAATTCCTAATTTACACAACTTAAAGCACAAACTCGAGTCATAGGGTGCGTATGGTAACATTTTTGTTCTCGGGAACAATTTTTGTTCAGAAATAGTTTTTTCTATTTCTATTCCTTTGACGAGTTTTTAAGGGCCCGTTTGGTAACGTGCCAAATAGTGAAAATTTCTGTTCTTTTGTTTCCAGAAATAGTTTGGGAACAGAAATGCGTTTGGTAAACTTTTTGTTCCCGGGCACATTTTTGCAAAAATTTGTGCCCAGAAACAGTTTTGGAAGAGAAACAAGAAGTAAAAAAAAGTTGCTTCTTGTTTCTTGGCACAATTTTGAGAATGAGTTCTTTTTCTTCTTTTTTCTTTTTTTTCTTTTCTTCTTTGTGTTGTTCTTCCCTGGGCTGTGGCCGGTCGCCGGCGGAGGCGAGGGTCCCCCTCGCCTGTGAGGATGAGGGCTGGACCCTCGCCGGCGAGGATGAGGGCTGAACCCTCGCCGACTGGGCGAGGCGGCTCGCCGTCGATCATGGCGAGGTCGGCTTCGCCGTGGGTCGCGACGGCGAGGCTCGGCCTCGCCCGGCGGCTCACCGTCGATCATGGCGAGGTCGGCTTCGCCGTCGCGACCCACGGCGAAGCCGACCTCGCCGTCGCGACCAATAGGCGAGGCTCAGCCTCGCCTGATCTGGGCGAGGCCGGCGGTGAGGCAGGCGGCCGGCGGTGAGGCGGCGGCCGGCGGTGAGGCAGGCGGCCAGGGTGGCGGCGAGGGCCGCGATGCCCTGGCCTGTGGCCAATCGCCGGCGCCGACGACCGGCCATGGCCAAAGAAGGGAAGGGTAGAAAGAAAAAAAAAGAAACAGAAATATTAAACAATTTAAAATATTATTAAAATATTATTAATAAAAAGAAATTTTGTGTAGTTACCAAACGTATTTCTGTTCTTTTCTATCCCAGGAATAGAAATTTTGGACAGTTACCAAACGCCTTCAAATGGTCAGAAATTGTTTCCGGGCACAGAATCAAAAAGAATCATTTCTGAGTAGAAATAGTTCATGGGCACAGAATGATTGTCATGAGCACCCTAAGCAGAAGAACCCATTTGGTAACTGCACAAAATTTCTATTCCTGGAATTGGAAAAAGAATATAAAAGCATTTGGCACGACCCTAAAATTTTATATTCCCAATTTTTTCATTTAAATTATAAAAATATCAATTGAGACTTAACAATTTATATTTGGATAAAACTAGACTTTTGTAAGGACTTAACTAGTCAAGATATTCTACGATGGCCTCAAAAAATCCAACATAATATGTAATCAAAGATGGATAGCTAGAAATGGCGATAGAGAATTCCATTGGTTTATAACTCGCAATATGAGGAAGTTGATAGTCAATCTTTGGGCATTACTATAAATAGGTGCATAAACCTTTTGATCTTTAAGGTGTAGGGTGTAAGGTGTAGGGTTTAGTGGTTTAGGATTAAGGATTATGGTGTAGGGTGGAGGGTTTGGGATTTAGGGTGTAAGGTGTATGGTTTAGGATTTTAGGTAGGTTAGGCTAAGCATGTTTCTCTAAAATGACCTTGTTTCTCTTTTTGTTCCCAAGAAAAAAAATTAATTTTTTTTACTTCTTATTTCTATTCCAAATCTATTCTTTGGCTACTAATCTATTCTTGGGAATGGAAAAATTAACTGACGTACACAAATAGATTTCTGTTCTTTTTCTGTTTTGGGGAACAAAAGAACAGAAAACAGAGAAACAGAAATGCTATCAAATAGGCCCATAGCAGTCCAACTTAACTCGAAAATCAAAATTATGATCATCTCGTGACTAACTAAAAATGAAATATATCGAAAAATTTAAAGTATATTGGATTTGTTTGATTAAAGTTTTTTACCTCACTGCTTTTTTTTCTTTTCGTACAACCCCACTTTCTCACCATGCTAGCCAACTTTCAAATTTTTTCACTTGTTCTTAATCCTTTGAAATTGGAAAAATTGTCTAAAAAGTCCTAAACCTATTGCATTTTTGCCAATTCAGTCTTAAACCTTTCAATTTTGCCAGTTGAGTCTATCTGGCTAATTTTGGCTGGAATTTGTTGATGTGAATGCCGGCCGTCCTACGTGGCATGGTAAGCGCTGACGTGGACAATTTATAATAATATTTAAATATTTTTTTCTAATTTTCTATTAATTTTTTATTTCCTTTTTTCCTTTTTTCTCTTTTCTTTCTTTATTTTTCTAAATTGTGACTGGCGAGGTTCACCGGGCCCTCATCGGCCACTAGGTGAGGGGCATCGGGCCCTCGCCTGGCCTCGCCTAGATCTGGCTGGGCGAGGCCAGATCTAGGCGCATGGCTTTCGATTTCGGCTTCGTCTTCGCAACATGAACGATCCTCTGCTTGCCATTCCGAATTGGGGGGGTAAGTGAAATAGGGCAAGAAAGTTCAACCAATTCCAATCAAGGAAAGTGTGATTATTTACCAAAGGAAGGTGAGATTTGAGGCGACCCTAGCCTAGAAGGCCATCACAGCCGCGGGTGAGGGTCGCAAGGGTCCGTGGCCGGCGAGGGCCTGGCGACCGTGGCTGGCAACAGTATAAAAAGTAAAGAAGAAATAGAGAAAAATAAAAGGAAAAAAATAAAAATAAAATAATAATTAAAAAAATTCGAAAAAATATTACTAAAAATTATCCACGGCAGCGACGGCCATGCCACGTAGGACCCGGCATCCATGTCAACAATGATGGACTCAATTGGCAAAATATGAAAGGTTTTGGACTTAATTGACAAAATTGAAAGGTTTAGGACTGAATTGGCAAAAGTGCAATAGGTTTAGGACTTTTTGAACAATTTTCCCTTTGAAATCTCATAAATTAGGTTGAAATACATGTGTGGGTTGTTAATTTGAATTTCATTGTATCTAGAATTGGTGACAATGTTTTGGCGCGTACATTGCAAAAGGATTGAGTTTTACATTTAAGTACTTATTCAAAGTATTACGAAAAGTTCACAAGCATCAGGTATATTTCCTTCTTGATGGTTTAATTTTCTTTAAGGAAAAAAAAATCATTGTCCAATATTTGAGAATTTTTTTATCAATATTTGTTTTCCAAATTTGTTCCATGTTATGATTACGGTTGCCCATTCCCATTGAATGGCAATTTGTGGTCCACTGGGACTAACGGTGCCTTTCCCTAGGGAATAACCATGCCGTTCCCCTAACAACATCCATAAATGATCAACAACAAAATAGAGTGTGCATATTAGTTCACAATCAATGGGAAAATTATTTAAATAGTCATAAATCCATTATACTTATGCCAATTCAATCCTAAATATTTTAATTGTATCAATTGAGTCATAAAAATTTTCATGTTTTGCCAGTTGAGTCCATCCGGCACGACCAGCGCTCATATGGACATT